ACCATAATCAAGCTAATTAACATATCATCCTCTCACAAATTTAACATTCATTGTGTGGCTGGAGGGAAGAGCACAAAGGACTGGGGAGATGGATCACGGATCTATGGTGGTGGGAGAACGAGGGGCTACACCTGAAGAGAGAAGTAATTTTTTCTTTACAAGATAAATTCTTGCCTATAAAATGAATACAGACTTAACTGCTTGTGTTGCTTTGATGTTTCTCTGCTGGACTTTAAAATTTTCGAGGATCGGAACTGTGCTTTATATTCCTGGTGCCAATTGGAGTTCTCAGTTAAGAAAAATTGAATGGGTTAAGCAAACATAGTTAAGGAATACCATTCTGTGGCTTGCTAGCTAGCTTTACCTCTCAGGAGCTACAAAATGGGAAACCTGAGAAATACAATGTTTAGTTTACAAGACTCTAATCTGCCTTTTATTATTGCCACCCAAATCTGTTGAATAAGGAAAGAAGATAGAGTTGGAAAGAAATCTATGGTTGTGGAGAAGGGAGATATATTAGGCAAGTGTTCAATTTCTCAGAATATAAGGTAGTATGAAATCAAGGTATTCCTGTGATGTGGATCTAGAGAGTTGCTGTTGATTTCATTTTACTAGCACTGATTTTTTTTTTAAAGATTTATTTATTCATGCATATAAGCAAAGGGGTGCAGGCCAAATGTGTGGGTGGGTGAGAGGATCCACCAGAGACAGAGTGGGGAACAGAACAGGCAGACTGACGAAATACACTGCTGAGGGGAGCAGCGGGCAAGACCTCACCATGTGCATATTTTCCTGCGGGTATTGAACCATTTCGCCATGTGGGTTTTGAACCTGACTTTGCAGAGGCTGCGGACAGCTTCACAGCGCTGTGCTCAACTGCCTGCGCCACCAGGGGAGGCCCAGCACTGATGGTTTTTGTAAGTCAGAGGATTATAGTACTAGAATGAATAATAGATTTTTGTTGTATGCTAGATTTTTTGCTTTAAAACACATTAGAAGGAGCTAAATTTGTAAAGATAAGTGGTTTGTAGATTAAATAGTACAGAGGGGATTATGAAAACTCATAATTTCATCAGTATGTTTTAAGGATAACATTTTAAAGTTATCAGATGGAAGTACACATGATCATAATTTATAAAGGGAAAGACTTTTCCTAGAATTTTATTTACATGTATTTCTAAAACCGTAGTATTTCTCTAGATGATGAAAATTCTTACTTGTTTAGGAGAGCACTGTATTTTCTTTGTTGTTTCTCATCTGTTAAATTCTTCCCGTGTTTAAATCTTGGATGAAATAAAATTTCTTAAATTATATGTAGGGTAAATGTAGATAAGGAGTTTACTTGAAAAATACTGTATTATAGTCTTCATTTTTCTTTTTAGTATGTTTTTCATTTGGATTGCTAAATAATTATAGTCATAAACTGCTTAGGAAAATTTTTTTTAAGATTTATTTTTTATTTATGTATGCAAGAACTGGGGTGTAGGCCAAAGGTGCAGGGGGTGAAAGGATTCACCAGAGAGAGTGGGGAGCAGAATAGGCAGATCCACTGAAATACACTGTTGAGGGGAGCAGTTGGAGAGACAGGAGAGGTCTGTTGCACCAGTTGGGTCAGCTCCCTGGCCCAGGATCCAATTCAGGCAGCAGTGGCTGGTGATAGCTTCATAGTGCTGAGACTTTAACCCTGTGCCTCCAGGGAGGATCCTGCTTAGGAAAGATATTTTAAAATTCCATACAAAACAAGTATATTTAAGACTATAATGCTTTTGAACTTTCTTTAATAGTCATTTTTTTTGCCTTAAATTCAGTCTTATTTGTGCCTGTTATTTTCATTCATAAGAACTGATTTTAAAAACAGCTTGAGGTGTTTTTTAATACTATAAAATTCAAATGTTCAAAGTATACAGTTCTTTTCATTTAAGCAATCGTCATTTTTAAATTTCATAATATTCTCTTTGCTGTGCTAAGAACCATCATGCCCTTTAGCTTTCTGTTCCCATTGTTCTCTCTACCCAGACCTTCACAACCACTTACCGCTTCTATTTCTATGGATTTGTCTAATCTATACATTTTATATAAATGGAATAATGTAATTTATAGTCTTTTATCACTGGCTTTATTTAGCATATTTTCAGAGTTTATCTGTAGTGTGTTATGTATTACTAGTTTATTTCTTTTTAAGATGCATATTCCATTGTATGAATATATTGCTGAATTTATTCAGTGATGAGTTGATGGGTATTTGGATTTTCTTATTTTGGCTATTATGAATAAAGCTACTGTGAACGTTATGTAGAAGTTCTGTGTGTGTTTTTATTTCTCTTGTTTAAATTCCTATGAGTGAAATTGCTGAGTCACTGCAACTTTATTTTAACACAGACTACTTGCCAATCCATTTTTTTCCCAAAGATTGTGTCATTTTATGTCTTAACAACAATAATTCATTTCTGATATCTCCACATCCATACCAACCCTTGTTATTGTCTGTTTTTTATTATAACCAGAAGATGTGAAGTGATATTTCATTGAGTTTTGTCTTATACTTCCCTAATGACTAATAATGATGAGCATCCTTTTTTTTGTAGTTGTGGATTATTGCATATTTTCTTTTGAGAAATGTCTGTTCATATTCTTGCCCCATTTTTGATTTGGGTTGTTTTTTGTTGTACAGTTATAAAAGTCCTTTATTAAGCCCTCATAAGATGTATGATTCACAAATATTTTCTGCTATTCTGTGGATTGTCTTTTCACTTTGGTTTTAGTTTTGTTAAAGTCCAATTTAGTATTTTTTTTTGTGTGTGGCTTGTGATTTTGGTGTTACATGAAATAAACCATGACCTTATCTGAGGCAATAAAGATTTACTCAGGTTTTCTTCTAAGACATTTACAGCTTTAGCTCTTTACATTTATATTTCTATTCTATTTTGAGCTAAATTTTGTTTATAGTGTGAGATGGGGTCTAAATGCATTCTTTTCCCAGTGGGTATCCACTTCTTATCACCATTTGTTGAAAAGCCTTCTGACTTCACTGAATTTTGATACTTCTGTCAAAGTCAGTTATCATATATATTTCTCTTCTAAGACATTCCATTGAGCTGTATGTCTAATTTTACGATAATACCACACTGTCTTGACTACAGCAACATTCTAGTAAGTTCTGAAACTGGCAAGTATGAGTCCTCTAACTTTGTTCTTTCTCAAATCTATTCTGGTGATGCGGGATCCCTTGTGTCTCCATATGAAGTTTAAAATCAGCTTGTCGGTTTATCTGCAAATAACTGAATTCTGATATTGAATTGAGGTAATTGTATAGATCATTTGATGAATATTGCTATCTTCACACTATTAGGTATTCTATTTCATGAATATGAAATGTCTTTCCATTTAATTTAAATTGTGTTTCAACAATGTTTTATAGTTATTGTTGTACAAACCTTGAATTACTTGGGATAAATTTATTCTGAAGTATTTTGCTCTTTGTGATGTTACTATAAATGATTTCTTAATTTACTTTACATATTGTTTATTGCCTGTGCTTGGATATACAATTGATTGTTGCATATTAATTTTATATTGTGCAAACTTACTGGACTCCTTTATTTATTCAATAGTTCTTTAGTGGATTCATTAGAATTTTTTATATACAAGATCATGTCATCTGTGACAAGAGATAGTTTTATTTTTTCTTTTCTATTCTGACACTTTATACTTCTTTCACTTGCTTGTTTTGCTTGTCTGGACTCTCCTATATAATGTCATGGAAATGGTGAGAATGGCCATCCTATCCTGTCTTTTCCTTGAGTATAGCAGGAATCCTTTCAGTTTTCAGCATAAAGTATGATGTTTGCTGTGGGTTTTTCTTTTATGCACCTTGTTAGGTTGAGGATGTTCCCTTTTCTTTGTTTTATTATGAAAGAGTGTTGAATTTTGTGAAAGATCTTTTCTGTCTCCATTGAAATGATTGTGAGGTTTTTCTCCTTTACTCGTCAAATACGGTGTTTGATTCTGTGAGCTCTTTGAAGAGAGGAGTTGTTTACTTATTTTAATATCTTTAATTTTGTAAGGTCTGTTCCACTTAGATTACTGTAGTCTCTAAAATATTTTGGTCAGTCATCTTACATATGGAGACATTGGTAAGGAAGCCATCTCAAAATTTCATTTAAAATTAGATTACTCCAGTTTTTCTTACTCTACTGAGCCATAGCACTTCATTTTTAAACTTAATATTATTATCATGAACTAACAAACGATCTAGAAAAATTTTTTGATTGGCATATTGTTTATGCTTAATTGGTTTTGTGGTGTTACCTCCTATTGAAAGTTGTCTTCTGTCTAGTTTTGTAGCATTAGACTTCATTATATATTCGTAAGCAAAATATTCATTATAAATGTTTCCCCTGTGTTCATCTCCAGTTTTTGTTTTTCTTTTTTTTTAAGATTTATTTATTTATACAAGCACTGGGTACAGTCAGAAGCGCGGGAGGGTGAGAGAATTCACCAGAGTGAAAGCGGGGAGCAGAACAGACAGACCGACGAAACACACTGCTGAGGGGAGCAGCGGGCGCAGCAGGACAGGTCTGCGCGCCATGTGGGACCCTCGCCAGCTGCCGGGGATTGAACCAGTGCTGCAGAGGCTGTGGACAGGTTCACAGCCCAGTGCTCAACCGCTGTGCCACCGGGGAGGCCTTGGGCCAAGTATTTAAAATATATTTTATCTTTGTTTTGTAGATTGTTTTTTAAATACATTTCCTTTTTTTTTTTCCCCTTGAAGGAACAGTTTGTCTTATTTCTTTTAGGCCTATAATTTCTTGTGACTACTGATTATCTGCTGAAGCTATCTAATCAAATTGATGTGTAATAAACCAAACTAATTCTTGACCTCAGTAAATAGCCTGTATCTAATATCAGGTCATCAGAATATTTATTAGTCTATTATTTAATTTACTAATTTCTATAAAATGCCCCCATTACCCTGAATTCCTTAATGGAACTAATGACAGCTTCGGTCGTCCTGGAGTAGAATGTTATTGCCAGCACGACAGCGGGGCTGCAGTGATCCAGCTCCAGTTCCTGATTAACGAGGTCAGTGAGTTGCTTTCATCTTTCCTGCCTGTATATGAAATAGGGCGAATTCTCATACATTTCATTCAGATTTCTTGTATTGAAATGTTTGAGGGAAAATACTGCTTACAGATCAGACACTGTAGCTACTCTAAGACGACATCATGGGCAGCTACATAAAGTTTAACAGAACAGTTACAAATAGGTAAACCATTCCTTTTTTGATTAAAGGTGCTGCATTTTATTTCAAAATCTTGAAAGTTGTAACATAAAATATGACATATAAAAATCTATATTAGATTTTTTTAAAATATTGAACTTGTAAATACTAGAATGAACTATTCTATTGTTTTGAAAAATAACCAGGAACCAAAATCCACTAGAAACTTGTTACTGTCCAAAATTTCTTCTGTGTCACTTATTGGTTGCACTAATTGATGATCCCTTTCTTTTTGAAAGAGTATACAGTATGGAAAGAGCTAGAGAAAATACCATTTTATCAGCAGAAGAAGCAATGTTTTTGTAGGTTTTAAAAGTTTAGCAGCTGTGAGAATGGATGTTTACCACAAGTTGTGACTGGCAGGAAAAACTGGTTATAGAATGAAGAAAGAAAAGTCACTACAGAAAGTTACTCTCTTTAAATATGAGGAGTTTGTGGACATTATTTTTGCCCCTAAGGCCTTGGGATCCATGGAATAAATTCCTAAATGTGTATGCAAGAAAAAATTGTCAGTATCTTTGACTTTGGATAAATGCTTATTTGCAGTCATAAGAGAGGCATTATGGTTGTTCAGAATTAAAGATGATAATATGAAAAATCCAGTGAAACTGTAATCCAAATAACATGTCTCAATGTCAGAGAAAATGTTTCTTAAAAATGTCATTATTCTGTATAGAACTCTTATATTAGGCATTGTAAATGCTAGAAACAAAAAAAAAAAATCACAATATGAAACTATATGAGGACTTGAATATTTTCCTGTCTGAACTTTTTTTTATGGGTGGATAGAATCAGAGTAAGTTTTAAAATAAGGAGATCTGGTGTACTCTTTTCTCACCACGCACGCACGCACACGCGCACACACACCACCCCTTATGTAATAGCAGTATATTATCAAACCAGGAGAATGACATCAGTACATTACTATTAACCAGATTGCAGACTTACTTAGATTTCACCATTTTCTTCATGCATTCATATGTGTGTATTTAGTTTTTGCAAATTTATCACATGCTTAAATTATGCTACCAAGAACAGTATACAATTTGGTAGATCATCTGGATAAAAGAATTCCCCTCTCCCTAATTCCTGGCAATGTTAACATATACTTCATCTTTATACTTGTATTAAGATTATTTTTTAGACCAATAAACAAGTCAGTGTAAATAACATATTGCAAATTGATTACCCTATACACCTAAATTTTAGAAATTTTAATATATGTGTTATTAATCATATTATCAGATTCTTTTCTCTTTAGTACACTTCATCATAGAGTTCTCTGAAATGACTTTTATTTTACAAACTTAAATATTACATTTAATACTTTAAATGGTGTTGGTTTTTGAAAAAGTGCTTAACAAAATATGAATATTTAAATGGGATGACTGTGGAAATTTGACAGTTGGGAGTAGCCATTTGTTTTCCATTCTGGAAATCTTTGTATAGGTAAGGAGACCCTCCATAGAAGGAGGTCAACTGTTACTGTCATTTTGACTCTATATCGTAACTTACTCCTTGAGATTTTGAGATGGGACATACCTCTTGAGAAGATGACAGGGTCTGAAACTACGGTGAAAATCAGAATGAAGAGTACAAATCTTTGATATGCTGAATATTTTGAGTTGTACTCCTTTAAAATAATATAATAAGAGGATGCTTTCTAGTGAAAAGGAGAATATGTGAGTTTCATGTAGTTCTGCTTTCCAATAGTCATGTTGTAGCAATATGAGTTACACAGTAGAATAGACCACACAGCATTTTGAAGGTGAAATATACAGGAGAGGTCATTTAATGTAAATTCTGTCTTCAGAGTTGTTTTAATCCTCTTGTATAAATGAGAAGCTCTCATGTTTTAAAAGAAGGAGATTCAAAGATTCCTCATAACAATCTCTATAAAGCATTGGAATTACAAATCTTTTTTGAAATTAATATAAGTTCTTTGTGTTACATCTATGGTCTTATTCTCTTAGTGTACATGAAATATATCTAACGCTTTTAAGGGAAAACATTCATAAGTTTTAATAAATCATCCTTAGTCTGGAGATTCTTAATCTGTTCACACATCAGAATCACCTCTGACTATTTTTTTTCTAAGATTTATTTATTTATGCATACAAGAATTGGGGTACAAGTCAGAGGTGTGGGGGGTGAGAGGATTCACCAGAGACAAAGTGCAGAGCAGAACAGGCAGATGTACTGAAATACATTGCTGAGGGGAGCAGTAGGCAAGTCAGGAGAGGTTTGCTGCGCCATGTGGGTCACCTCCCTGGCCTGGGATCGAACTCATGCTGCAGTGGCTACGAATAGCTTCATAGTGCTGAGACTTAACCCCTTGTGCCACCAGGGAGGCCTCACCCCTGACAATTTTTGATTACACACCTACACAGGTTCTTACTCAGAAAGTTCTTATTTATCATGTCTGTGGTGAATACCTGTGTGATTCTGATGTTCTGCCAGATATTTTCTACTCCATACTTAATAATACTTAGTATTGTCAGATGTTTCAGCTTTCTAAATTACAGTTTTTTAAACCTTTGGACATTGTGAAGTTACAGTGTGCTGAATGATGTCTTGGTGTCATTCCAGTAGTAGAATTATCATTAGGCCACAGTACATGCATAAGGATTTGTTGTTAAACCAGATAAAATGGGAGTTTTTCATATCATATTTTACTTTGTTAAGGAAATATATATTATAATCACTAAGTTCTTTACCATCTCACCTTTATTTTTTTTTTAATTTTAATTTGCATTTATTTGATTACAAGAAGACAGATCTCTTCCCCATTTGTTTATTTTTTTTTTATTTTTTTTTTTATTTCTCACCTTTAATTTTACATTGCTAGATATCAACCATAATACCCCACTGTTTTCCAGTGTACATTTAATTTTAAGATATTAAATTATGCCTTTAAATTTGAAGACATTAAAATACTTTTTACACACATGTGTGCGCGTGCGCGCGTGCACACACACACGCTGTTTACTTCTGCTGTTCAGAATTTGGGTGAAGCTTGTGTTTCCTTAAATGTATTGTCAGGAAGTTTTAAATTTGGAAAGGAGACTTTTTGACAACCCTTTAGTAATTTATAACTGTAAAAATGTATTTTATGTGAAATATACTTTATTTTTAAGGGAGCTCTTGTGAGTGCCTTGGCTGATGACACCTTACATTTATGGAATTTACGTCAAAAGAGACCTGCCATACTACATTCACTTAAATTTTGCAGAGAAAGGTAAGAATTCTCTCATTTATCCTATATGTAGGATATTTTCTATTCTATTTTGAAACATTTTCTTTGAATTTTGTTATTTTAAATTTTTTTTTGTGTATGATTTTATTCACAGTTAAAATTCAAAAGCCTCAAAGGATATATAGTAAAAACCAAGTTTCCTTTCTTTCCAGATCTAATTTCTCTCCAGTGGTAACTATCTAAAAATTTTTTGTGTCATTTTAGAAATAATTGCTGTTTGTGTGTGTGTGTATATATATATGCAAAGATACTTCTGTGTAGCCTCCTCCTTTTTTGCATAAGACAGAAGGCATTAATTAATCTTTGTGTAACTTGTTTTCAGTAAATAATATATCAGTTTTTTTTTAATTCTACTAAAAATACACATAACGTAAAATTTGCTATCATAACCAATTTTAAGTATTTAGTTCAGTAATGTTATGTGACCTTGTAATATAAATATTTTTGGATGAATATAAATATTTGAACATAAATATTTTTGGCTTCACTTTTATGGTGTGTTAAAAAAAGTATACACATTGGAGTCTCGAGACTTGGATTAATTCTGTGAACCTGGGTCATTATTTCATTTCTTTATGTGTTGGCTTTCTAAACTCTTCTAAAAGTTTCCTGCATGAGTCATACAATTATTACTTTCACATATTAAAATAACTTTATCCTCTTATTCCCAATTACTCTATAGGTAGTTATAGAATGCCTATAATGTGCCCATCTCATAATACTGAACATGTATTTGTAAATAGGACACTTGGCTTTGCCATTAGGGTGTTATTCAAAAGTAAGACAAGTTTTGTTTTTCAGGTACCCTGTGAATGATACGTGTTCACGCTAAATAGATATGTGTCTTGGTCTCCATGGAATGATTTAGAGTTGAGGGATAAACTTAAGAATGTTCTCCTAAGTTAACATTCAACTTAACACTAATTACCAGTTTCAGTTCTTGCCTTAGCTGGTTATTTACTCTAACATTGTGCTTTTCTTTTTCACTGTTGTGAGTAAGAGTGCAGACTGTGGAGATAAACTGCCTATGTTGAGGCTTAGTTTATAACTCAGGCATTTTTAGTTATATATGTTTTGTTATTATTATCTCACAAGAACCCTAGATGTGCACATTATAAAGTTAATAGGTTTAAAACAAGTAATAATTATCAAGCACTTGGAACAGTGTATAGCATATAGGAATCACCTATATAGATAATTGTTAAAGACATGCTTTCTTAAGGTGATGGTATAGATCACAAGTTACAAAATTAACTAAACCAGATATTTTAATTAGCTAATCTTTATAAAAGCAACTGATAGAAAAGGGATATTGTTATAGCCAATGACATTAGCTATATCAAATTATTTAAATTATGGACAGTTCTGAACTTGATATTAACACTAGCTACTTTCTCCGACTTTAAGCATTATATATTTTAAGACTATATGCGTAGGTCATTTTAGGAAATGACACAATCTAAAAGTGTTTTTTAATTCTTAGCTAAAGAAATGTATTGGGTTGCTGCCATACTATGTCACAGACCACGTAACTTAAACAATAGAAATTTATTTCCTCATAGTTCTGGATGTTAGAAATTTGACATCAAGATGTTCGTTTTTTTATGACTTGCCCTTTTGGCTTGTAGATGGCTATCTTCTTTGTACCCCTCTTCTCTCTGTGTGTATCTGTCCTAATTTTCTCATAAGGACATCAGTTCTATTGCAGTTAGTCCTACATATTGACTTCATTTTACCTAAATTACCTATGTAACATTAATTATATATGTATGTAAAGCTACTTGTTTTTCTTTGAGCACTATATAATTTATTTCCAGGAATCTGATGTACAGCTCTTTCTTTTTTTCTTTTAAGATTTATTTATTTATACAAGAACTGGGGTACAGACAAGAGGCATGGGAGGGTGAGAGAATTCACCAGAGACAGAGAGGGATGCAGAACAGGCAGACTGACCAAAAGCACTGCTGAGGGGAGCAGCGGGTGAGACAGCAGAGGTCTGCTGTGCCATGTGGGTATCGCCCTGGCTGGCCAGGAGTCGAACCCGTGCTGCAGAGGCTGCAAACAGTTTCACAGCGCTGTGCTCAACCTGCTGTGCCATTGGGGAGGCCCTGATTTATAGTTCTTTCATTTGTGACAGATGTGTCTATTAGGTTTAGAGAAAAAAAATAAGCCTGCATTCTAAACCAGTGTTTGTAAAACACAGTATGACTTGAATACTTAGTAATAAATATTTCATCCTAACATTTATTAATGGAGAATTAATGTCCAAAAGTCTTCTTAAGAAAAAAGAAAACTATTTGACAAGTGGAGTAATTCTTCAGATAGCAAAGCAGGCGAGTTGTAACTATTAGGTGCTTCAGGAGCTGACTGCTGCCCTAGCATCAGATTTTCTTAGTATAAATAAATGCTTATAGAAATAAAAACTAACGTATCCTTTTAATATAATTTTATTATATGCTTTTATTATAATTTTATGTAAATAGTTTGCTTTGCATATTTATGAGATATCTAATTTGCTCAGTATGCACATTAACAGGGCATAGCTTTAAAAAGAATATTTGGGTAGGGCCTCCCCGGTGGCGCAGCGGTTGAGCACTCGGTTGCGAAGCTGCCCGCAGCCTCTGCAGTGCCGGTTCGATCCCTGGTTGCCGGGTGAGGGTCCCACATGGCACGCAGACCTCTCCTGCCGCCTGCTGCTCCCCTCAGCAGTTTATTCATCAGTCTGCCTGTTCTTCTCCCCGCTCTGGCTCTGGTGAATTCTCTCACCCTCCCGCACTTCTGACTGTACCCAGTGCTTGTATGAATGAATAAAATAAATCTTTAAAAAAACAAAAAAGAATATTTTGTAGATAGATACCAGCCCTCAAAAACCTATATAGGTCTTGCAAAGGTTTGAATTAATTAACTACCCTTATTTAATAAGAAAATGAAATCATAATATTGGAGCAAATTAGAGACCTAGAATTACAGTTTTTGTGGTAATTCATCATACTGGCAAAATATTTTTCTTTGAAAGCAGCTTAATGAAAATTGTACAAGCATTAGAAATGATAGTGGCTTGGAAAGATGAAATTCAGGACTAGTGCACAGGAACAGAATGTTGTCCAGACCTGTTAGGAAGGCAGACAAAAATGTACTACTGTGGACCTAATTATGATCCACAAGGAGAATTGATTGGTGATAAGGAAAAGATGTGTCACCTAGGGGATTTTAAGTGTAGAGCACCACACCCTAGGACAGATTATAAGAAAGAGTCTCTAGAAATGGAAGAGTATTGCAATTTGATGTATCTCAAGACTGTAGAGAAAGATGGTCAGGAAGTTTCAGATAACTTAGAAAAAAGTAATCCATAATAACTAAGAAATTCTGACAACAAATTTGAAGATACTTTCAAAGATAATATTGGTCTAGTTGCACAAGGTCTGGGGCCTCAGTGTACTCAGGTAGAAAAGGAATGGGATGGGCCTCCCCGGTGGCGCAGCGGTTGAGCACTGGGTTGCGATGCTGCCCGCAGCCTCTGCCATGCCATTCGATCCCCAACTGCTCCCCGGCCACCAGAGGAGGGTCCTGCATGGAGAGCAGACCTCTCCTGCCGCCCGCTGCTCCCCTCAGTTCCCCTCGGTCCTTCTGCCTGCTCTGCTCCCTGCTTTGGCTCTGGTGAATTCTTTCACCCTCCCGTGCTTCTGACTGTACCCAGTGCTTGTATAAATAAATAAATAAATAAATAAATCTTTTTTTAAAAAAAAGGAATGGGATGTTTGATCAAAAGTAAATGTAAGAGTAATTTAGCTCTACTAATTGTGTGAGAGCACCAGTGAACTAAGCCTTGTGAAAAATCATAGACAAAATACTGAATGAAACTTCATTTTTACAGTTAGGGTTAGAAAACTAAGTAGATTAATGGTAAAATTAGGGCATATATAATTGCTCTTACTGCATTAATGCAGTACAGGCTCAGACAAATCTTGTCTCAGGTGGCTGAAAAAATTAACTTCTGTGCAATTATTAGTTGGTCTATGAGTAACAGGGTGGGAATAGTGCTTCATGCTTGGAAATGAAAAAGAATACAATTTAGGGGCCTCCCCTGGTGGCGCAGCAGTTGAGCGCCGACAGCGAGGGTCCCACAAAAAAAAAATACAATTTAGAAGATATGTTTAAAATACATATTAACAGAGTTCAGTTGACAAAACATTGGTGCTTTCTCTGTGCCAGAGATTATAGTAGGTGTTGTTGATAACAAAGGTGAATAATAAAATGCTTGAACAGCTTGCTTTCGCGCAGAAGCCCAGACATTTAATAATCATTATAGAATATGGGTGTCATTTTAGAAGTTTGTTAAAAACTCATGATAGAATAATAAATTCAATCTTTTTCAATTTTATTTTTTTAAATAATAGTGACTTCTTTTACAAGGGAATTTACACTAAAACTATAACCACGTACATGGACACTAATGAAACTTCTCAGCATCTACTGATGGGCTTTTTAAGTGTTATAATCACTTTGGGAAAGATTTTTGCAGTGTTCACCTACTTCATGATCTAAGAGCTTCACTCCTAACCATGCTTGTGTAGTAGGCATAACTCGAGACTGGTTTTGAGATTTTTGCTCCGTGGTGTATATATACTTACTCCTCCACATTCAAATCAAACTCATCTAGGGGAAGACAGTTTGTAGATATAACTGAGGTCCCAGTTAGTTCACCCTAAGATAGGGAGATTTTCCTCGGTAGGCCTGAATCAAGTGGACATTTAAAAGGGACTGAACTTGGGCCTCCCAAGCGCAGCGGGTTGAGCACAGCGCTCTGAAGCTGTCCACAGCCTCTCTAGCGTGGGTTCAATTCCCGGCTGGCCAGGGAGATACCAACATGGCGCGGCAGACCTCTCTTGCCTTGCCTGCTGCTCCCCTCAGCAGTGCTTTCGGTCAGTCTGCCTGTTCTGCTCCCCACTCTGTCTCTGGTGAATCCTCTCACCCTCCCATGC